CAGCCAGGGGAAATGTGAATCCTTTAATATTTGCTCACAGAAATTGTTATAGTCTCTACTCCTGGGGAAGAATATACAACAAATCTTAACAATTTAAGTAATGCAAAACAAGGAAAAGGCCATATAAATTAAGTGCCAAGGAAGGGGACAAATTTATGCATGAAAAGAATTTAGAAAAGGAGGAAACCTCTGGGCACTGACGTGGTCAAGGAAGGCTTCCAAGAAGGGACTTGAGGAGGGCCTTCGAGCTTGCATGGAATTCAGACATAAAAAGGAAGAGCTGTGCTATGGAGGGTCTTTCATCTTGGACCATGGCAGGAAAAAAGTCTTGGAGGGAAGAATTTCTGCTATAAATTTTAGGACACTGAGTGTACTGATTTTCCAGAAGGAATATAAGCAAATATAAGGGGTAGAGAAAGAGAAATTTGGAGCAGTGGTTGAAAACCCCATCTTGAATTCCAGACTAATAAGTTAAAATTATTCTGTGGCTAAAAGGAAATAATTGAAGGTTCTTAACAGAGAGAGAAAGAGAGTTTTGAAGAAGTGTTTTAAAATTACTTTGGTTACTGTATTAACTGTGTTCAGGATCATTGAAAGGGAGAGAGGCTGTAGTAGAGAAACCAGCTGGATTATTTCAGAAATCCAGGTATGAAATAAAAGCAGTCTAACCTAAGGTGATAGGCAGGAAATTATGAAGGAAAAGACAGGTTTTTAAAAATCACGTGTAAGAAATGGCCCTCAAGCATGAGAAAAGATGCTTGTTCATTATATGGGAACTATAAATTAAAACTACTGTGAGACACCATTTCTTTCCTATCAGATTGGCAAAAATTCAAAAACTCACAAGCTCTATAGCTCTTGTTTCTTGCTGGTGGGAAGACAGAATGCTACGATCACAGTTAAAGGAAATTTGGTAATATATAACACAAATGCATACTCATTTACTCTTTGACCCTATAACACCTCTTCTAGGAATTTTCCCTGAGGATACACAGCCACAAATTCAAAACAGCACACTCACAATATTATTCATTGTGGTATTATTTGTGGGAATAAACTATTGGAAACAACCTAAATGCTGTTTCCTGGAAGACTGAGTAAAGTGAGGTACACACACTCGTACACAATGGAATACTCTGTAGCCATCCAAAGAACAAAAAAATCCATATGATCCCATACTGATTTAATGACATAATACTGTTAAGTAGGAGGCAGGGTACAAAAAGTGTATATAGTATGCCACCTTTGGAGTAAGAAAAAATGTGTGTGTGTATCTACAATTTTGCTTATTTTTGCAAAAAGAAACAGAAAGGACACATGAGAAACTAATGAAATGGTTAGCTATAGAGAAAGGGGTAAAGGAGACGGGAGTGAGACTTCTCTAGGTATATCTTTTTACATAGTTTTGATTTGAACTATGTAAGATTTTATATATTCATAATAAATGACACAGTAACTAGTGTGAATGGGCTCCCACTGGCCAAATTTAGGACAGTTGAACA